ATATCAGTCCGCTTATGCTTCTTACTTGCAGCCGTCGAACACCGGGTTTGCAGGGTGAGTGGACGAGGGCGAAGGCAGCATGGTGTTCTCAAGCTTGTTTCCGAAGTTGCCGATGGACACCTCGATCTCCAGGGGCCTTCCCGCCTCCTCCAGGAGCCACGCCCCCGCCAGCTGGCACATCAGCATGAACCTCCTCGTTCCCCGGTACCTCTGGAGACGACGCAATCGGGTTATTGCTTATCATTATATTTATTCCTTTATAGATTTCTGTTAGTATTAACTGCTTCCTATTGCTTATGCACTTCGCTTCTCTTGCATTTTCAGATACGATTGTCCTTCCAGTCAAGATCCTCGGGACCCTCTCTCTTGGTCCAGGGCCCTGCACTTACCCTGACGGCGTTGAAGGCGTCGTTATCGATGGCGGTCGAGGGCGCGGGCGGATACGACCCCACGTGCGTGTGCAGGGCCATGAGGACGCGCCCTCGGTAGGCGCAGCCTTCCTCCACGCCCACGTTCATGCTCTCGCTCTTGTCTCCCTCGAGCAGCTCCCACTCGCGGCGCGCTCCGTACACGTTCACCCAGGCCGGCCCGAACGTCGGCAGGAAGCCTGGCGAGGGAAGGGCGCGGGTTAGCGGGCCGAAGGGCGCGGCGTTGCAAGCGGGGTTCGTTATGCACCAGAGGGAGGAGCTTTTGATACAATTATTATTAATATTGGATGAATAACATTTATCTTCAAATAAATGCAATCTCAGAAAAAAACATTAATTTAATCGTCTGAATAATATTTCTTTCGCAGTATCTATATATTCCCATTTTATATGAATATAATTAGCATTTTGAAGTAACCTATATAATGATATCATATTCACACAAAACTAAACTGTTTGAGACAGATTTAAAAAGGAATACAAACACACATACATGCATATATAAATGTAGATAAATTAATAAATAAATAAACAAATATATATATTCATATATATATACAAATATAATATATATATATATATATATATATATATATATATATATATATATAATATATATATATATATATATGCGTAAACATATAGATATAGATGTGTGTGTGTGTACAAACATATGTATCCCTGCATGTACATAAATCAGGCATGCATGGCGGCGACCAGGCAGTCAGAGGAGACCCTTACCGTCCTCGCCCGGGGCGGAGATCGCGGACACGGGGATGACGGCCGTCCCGATCGTGTCGTCCTCGCCCACGCGGTCCCTGGGGGGGAGGGAGCACGGTGTCACTTCGGCAGAATGGAAAGGGTGGAATTTAAACTTATCATGGAAAGGGGAAACAGAAGGCGTCAAGAATTTTATCACTGACAACAACGGGGTGATTTGACGTACGGAGAGAGAGGGAGAGAGAGAGAGAGAGAGAGAGAGAGAGAGAGAGAGAGAGAGAGAGAGAGAGAGAGAGAGAGAGAGAAAGAAGAAAGAAAGAAAGAAAGAAAGAAAGAAAGAAAGAAAAAGAAAGAAGAAAGAAAGAGACAGACAGACAGACAGAGTGACATTTAGAAGGAGAGGGGAGGCGCGGGAGAGCTCGACCCACCAGTCCTTGAGCGTCACGCGAATGACGTTGCACATGGACGGGAACAGGAAGCCCATGTGGAGGTCCTGGCGAAACTCCGGATTCTCGTTCGTGTACATGATCTTGGTCTGGACTTCCCGGCCGGCGTAGGAGGCCAGGAGGTAAGGATCCACCAGCTCCTTGGAAGCCTTCCCGATCCCCAGCACCTCCTTCAGCGTCTGCATCGTCCCCGCATCCACTGTGGAGAGGCGGAAGGGCTTCTTAGAGTGTGTAAACGTGGTAGATAAGCAGGTAGTTACACTGCAGCTTAATTGCCACAATTACGTAGATGACCTGAATATTTTAAAGGAAACTCTAACACCAATTGTAAGACTTACTTCTTGGGAGGTTTTGCGCGCAGTAGACGGTGAGCGTGAAGGTCGCCGGCTGCAGGTGGACGCCGGCCGACCACAGCAGGTTGGCCTCCACGTCGTCCTGGTCGGTGCGCGAGGCAGTCAGGTCAGGGCACACGTCGCCAGGACCCAAGACGGCCACGCTCACCTTCAGGTATCCTGTAGGAGCAAAGAAGACGAGGTGGATGTCATAAAGGAGAAATGCGAGATGAACTTATGGAAATAAAAGGACTTGTCAAGGAGATAGTAGACTGCCATGATCACAATGAGCATTATTTGTTACTGAATGGTGCTGAAGTTGCCCAGACTATCAGTAATGATTTGTATGAGGAAAAAAGTATCCTTTTCATACACTTCGTATCCCGGCCAGAGTTATGCAGTGTCGGTAGTGCAAATGATAGTGATAAATATCACTATTATCATCCTAATAATCTATTTTACTTGAAAGATCCTAAGAGCCGGAATCAGACCAAGTAACCAAGCACCCACGACAAGCAATCAGCTGCGTGGTGCCCGTTGCCTGACCTTGCACAGTAGGCGTCGGTTCGTCCGG